GAGACCTTCTTTAGGGTTGGGGGTGAAGCCCATAAAGCGTGAGCTAAGTAGCAGGTAAAACCCCGGGTTGTGTTTAACCACACGTGGAGCAGAAAAGAGGGGAGGGAGTGGGGGAGACCGCAGGCTAGGAGCGACAGGGATTTGGGATGTGCTGAGCTGCTCCCTGGGGGATCTCTGCATATTCCCAGCCCCAGTCACAGCCCCTGATGTGCCCTGAGCCCATGGGGAAGTGATTGGAGGGGTGAGGCTCTCTGGGCCAGGGCTGTCCCTGCAAGTGCCCAGGTGGGTGTCAGGGCTCCAGACTGGGAGCACTCGCAGCAGAAAGGTTTCCCTACTTGGCCTGGCCACAGTTGACATGACTTCCCCGCACCATAGCCGGGGGCTGCGGGTTCAATCTAAGGTCATGGGCCTTGGTTTTGGCCTGGGTCTAAAGATGCCCTCTGGCCAGGGCATGGCATGAGTGTCCCTGTCGGGCTGAACTCCAAGGGAGACCCTGCTAGGGCATCTCTGTGGTCACTGGGCAGTCCCCGTTCCCCAGAGTGATTGTTACCCTGGGCTCTGGGGTCCCTGTAACCTCCCCTGGCAGCTGCCTGCTCCAGCCCAGTCCTCTGTGCCCAGTGCAGAGCGCAGACTGGGGGATGGGAGAGGAGAGGGCCGGTAGTTTAGCTGGGAACCCTCTGGGCACTGCTGGGAGGGTGGTGGGGGGTATCAGGGATTTCCCTGTGGGAGGGAGGCTGCTGGTTGGGAGTGAGGGGCACTGGCAGAAGCTCAGGACAGCTGTGGGTCAGGCATGAGGGGCTGGATAGGGGCTGGGAGTTGGGAATGGGAGGCACCAGCAGGGAGCCTTGAAGGGCTGTGGGTGGGATGATGGACTCCAGTGGGGGTCCTCAGAGTGGCTGCAGGTGGGGAGTGAAGGGTACCTGTGGCCAAGTGGAGGGGGTTGCTTTCTTTTAATCTCCATGCTTGTTCCAAGCAGAGCGGTGTGTGCATTTCCCTGTTTGCACGCACAGTGCATCCAGATTCGTGTTCGTACAAGAGGTCCTTTGTTCTTTACATAAATGGACCCAGGAATGTGGTGTTCGTACAAGGGGTCCAATTTGTTCTTTACATAAATGGACCCAGGAATGTTGTGCCCAGGGGTTAACAAGCTCACACCAGCCTCTACCGTTGCCCTTCGGTGTTCAAGCTTATTTGGGCAGATGTGATAATTTTTCTGACTTATTCGACTATCTAGATTGTTGCGAAAGCAGTTCTTTGCAAGTTTTCGACACAAACACCCCTTTTCAGGCATAGAGAAAGTCTGCTGGTGAATTGTGTGCTCCCATGGATAGAATAGAAGTCAATATACAAAATGCAGGTCTGTGAAAATGCAAATCCATGTCAGTGAGGATCTGAGGGACTGGAGATAATAGATGTGGAGCAGGTGGGAAGAGAAGGGGAATGGTGTTCAGCATTTAGGTGGGATGACAACAAGTCTTCCCTTGGCACTATCTGAGGCCCTCAGCAGGACATATGAGTTCATCTTGTGACCTGTGACAGGCCTGAGGATGTTGAAAATGCCAAGGGTCTGTCTTCTCCTGCTTCTGTCTGTGTGCTGCTCCCCTGGCTGTGTCCCCTGCAGCCCGTGGCCCTGGAGCTCCCCCAGCACAGCAGGCCATCTCCTGCCATTGCAACAAGGGGTTTTTGGTTGAGCTCCCTTTCACTTCTCCTTACTGTGTACCTTGCACAGTAATACACGGCCGTGTCCTCAGCTTTCAGGCTGTTCATTTGTAGGTAGAAGGTGGAGCTGTCCTTGGAGGCTGTGAATCGCCCCTTAATGGAGGAGGCGTAACTGTTGTCACTGCTGCTGTAAAAATAGACTATCCACTCCAGTGCCTTCCCAGGTGCCTGCCTGATCCAGTACATACTAGTGCCACTGAGACTAAACCCACTGGTGACACATTGCAGCGTGTGGGACTCTCCAGGCTTCTTCACGGCTGCCCCTGACTGGGTCAGAGTCACCTGGGAGAGGGCACCTGGAGGGAGAAAAGGTAGAGGTTGATTAACACACAAGTCCAAACCATAAACCACTTGAAGGAACAAAAGAGAATTGGCAAGGGTGTAACCTTGGTCCTAGTGACACTGCAGGCCGTGCCCAGGGCCCATTGTTGGCCCAAGGAGCAAGGGCTATTTAGCAACATGAGACTCCACATCAAGAATCCAGGCTGGAGGGTGGGGGAGGTGTGGGGTAGGAAATACCTTCCAGTGCTGCTGCAATGAGAAGAAGTTGGAGCCACAGCATCATGTTTCCCTGTGGGGTTGCCAGAGGGAGAGGTCTGAGGACTGTCTGGTCTTGCCCAGGGCCCTGGGGTGCAGACTGGTGCTGAGGGAGAGGATTATTAAGAGGCAGGTGGCAGCCCTATTTGCATCTCCCATTTGCATCCCCCTCTAGAAGACCCTTGCTGGTCCCTGGGGGCAGGATCTATCCATCTCCCCGCCTACCCCATCTCTCCCTATCACTCTAATCTCTCCATCATCCTCTCCACAATACTGTGGCCAAAGGCACAAGCCTAGACACAGCCCACAGTCACAGGTTTCCTACTCCAGTTGCATCCAGTGTGGGATGGGCTGGAGGATGTGGCTTTCCACTGAAACACGTAGTGACCAGCCTGAGCTGGGCCTTTCTCCTGGACCGCAGGGACTTTGGTGTCCATGGGAGCCCGGTCCTGGGGTTGGCGGCATGGAAAGGAGCTGCCTTTGGAGCAGACTCAGGCTCCTAAGTCTTGGTGGATTCGTGTGACCTTTGAGCTCCTGAACATGTTTGTCCCTTCTGACCTTGGGACTTGCTCTCTCAGTCCTGTGGGTGCTACTGTAAATGTGAGCTTGGCTTGGTCCTCCCGGTGTGATAGTCCTCCCTCTTCTCACTACCACCTGAGCACGTAAGCATGGATGATCTGAGGGCCCAGGGGCTGTAGGGCTGGAGGGGAACCTGATCCTGGGGGCTGTGGGCTGGGCTGAGCTGAGGGTCCTTGCAAGGAGTGGTTTTTCCCCAGTGCTGTTCCCAGGGAGAAGAATCTCCCCAGGGAGGGAAATGGGTGAAGATTGCTCCTCAGTGGAAGGAGGCTGGTGCCATGGTGAGGGAAGGTGCCTGGTGTGTGAGGATCGTCAATACAGGTCATAGGATTGATTCGAGAGTGCAGCAGTGTCCAGCTGGGCCACTTGGGAGTTATGAGACCCAGCACTCCTGCAACAGCCTCGGGGATGTCTGTGTCTACAATCTTGCTGTGTTGTTGCAAGAGCCAGCCAAGGTGATGGCCATGGCCCTCATAGGGAAAGCAGCAGGTGAGGTGTTTAGGGTCCTGGCAGGCACACTGGGGGTGTGAAGCTGCCTCTTGCTGGTGGGAAGGAGGTGGGGTCTGTGTGTCCGGGGGAGGAGGGGCCGGAGCTACTTTTATATGTTGGGGGCAGGTGACACATGGGTGGGGCAGGTGCTGCCCCCGGTGGAGGAATTTGCCTATCTCAGGCTAAGCATCTCCAGGGCCAGTGAGTGGGGCAGGAACCTCCCTGGCTCTGTCTGTCCCTGCTTCCAGGGAACCCATGCCCCAGGTGCAGCAGGGAGGTGGCAGACACTGTCTCTGGACATCCTGGGTCCCTGGCTCTGCACAGGCCCTGTTGAGCTGAGGGATGCTGTCTCCCTGCAGAGCTGTATGGAGTGGGCTCCCCTTGGGAGCCCGTTCCAGATCCTGGCCACCCTTACTGTGAAAAATGTCTTCCTAGTATCTGACCTAAATCCCCTTTCAACTAGTTTACACCTGTTATTCCTAGTGACTCCCTGGGGCGCCTTAATAAACAGCACATTCCCTATTCCCCGGTGACCTCCCCTAATAAATTTATAAGCAGCCACAAGATCTCCCCTCAGCTGTCTCCTGTGAATGATGAAGAGATTCAGCTCTATCAATCTCCCCCCATAGGGTCTATCACAAAGGCCACTAATCATGGGAGTGGCCCTCCTCTGGACCCTCTCCAGATTTCCCGCGTCCCTCTTGAAGTGCGGTGCTCAAAACTGGACACAGTACTCCAACTGCGGCCTGATCAGTGCCGCATAGAGGGGGAGCATCACCTCCTTTGATCTATTATTCATGCATCTGCTAATGCACGACAAGGTGCGATTGGCCTTGTTGATGGCCTCGTTACATTGCCGGCTCATGTTCGTCTTGGAGTCAATTATGACTCCAAGATCCCTCTCTGCCTCCAAGCTGCTGAGAAGGAAACTCCCCAACCTATAGGTGTGCTGGGGGTTCCTCCTTCCCAGGTGGAGTACCTTACATTTATCTTTATTAAATTGCATCCTATTTCTCTCTGCCCATTGATCCAACCTGTCCAGGTCAGCCTGAATCTGCTCCCTGCCCTCCGGTGTACTAACTTTGCCCCATAACTTGGTATCATCAGCGAACTTGGAGAGGGTGCTCTCCATGCCCTCATCCAAATCGCTGATGAAGATATCAAATAATATTGGTCCAAGGACCGAACCCTGCGGGGCCCCACTGCCCACCTCCCTCCAGGCTGAGAAGGAACCATCCACCACCGCTCTCTGGGTGAGGTCCCTAAGCCAGTTGGCCACCCATCTGACCATGTAGGCGTCCACTCCACAGTCTGCTAGCTTCCCAATGAGGATAGGGTGCGAAACTGTGTCGAAGGCCTTCCTAAGATCCAGGAAGATGACATCAGTCTCAGCTCCCACGTCCAGGCAGTGTGTGACCTGGTCATAGAAGATGACAAGGTTTGTCAGGCAGGATCTACCTGTGACAAACCCGTGCTGGTTTCCCCTCAGCATCGTTTCCCCTGCCGGACCTGCACAAATGTGTTCTTTGATTATCTTCTCTAGCATTTTCCCAGGGACAGAGGTAAGACTGACTGATCTAAAGTTACCTGGCTCATCTCTTCTCCCTTTCTTGAAAATGGGCTCCGCATTGGCCCTTCTCCAGTCCTCAGGGACCTGGCCGGAGCACCACAAGTGCTTGAACAGCTGCGCCAGAGGCTTAGCTATGACGCTGGCCAATTCTTTCAGCAGCCGTGGATGGAGGTCATCCGGGCCTGCTGACTTGTACCCATCCAGCTCCTTCAGGAGCTCCTTAACTATTTCAGAACTGACCATAGGCAGACTGGTGCTTTTTTCCTTACTCCCTATGTATTTGAAAAAGGACTTTTTGTTATCCTTAATTCTGGTTGCCAGCCCTAGCTCCATCTCTGCCTTGGCCTTCCTAACCACCTCTCTGCAATCATGAGCAATAAGTGCTTGGGATGGAAAGAGGTTTCTCTTCTGTGCATGGCTTATGCCACTGTGTCCAGCGCAGCAATGCATGGTGTTCCTGCAGTAGGCAGGGAAGACAGACTGAGATAGCTGTGCTAGAGTAGGGCTTGGCCAGAAACATGCACAGAGGGCCTCCAGCATGGGGAAGGAGCTGCTCTCTCTGCTTGTGTCCCTGTAGCACAGACACCAACATGCTGCCTGGAGTGAGGGAAAGTCCTTATTCTCCTGCAGCCCCAGCAGGCAGGTCTAGGCAAGGAGTGAGTGCACTGGGCAGCTGGGGCTGGAAGAGCAAACAGGGAAGAAAGGATCTCAGGAGGAAGGCTGATATCTCCCTGCAGGAGCTGCTTTGCTTTGCTAGGGACTCAAGGGGCCCAATTGCAGCAGGTCATCCTCACTCTCCCGTGGGGCAGCAGAGCTGTATCTGGATGAGAGGACCCTCAGGGTGGGCAAGGATCTTTGTCCAGGTGGGAACTGCAGCTGGGTCTGGTCCAGGGGAGTCCAGCCAGGCTGTGTGCAATCAGTTTGTGGCTGTCTGTTGCTTGTGCCCGGTCTCCCTGAGGTTGACTTGGGAGTAACCTGGAGTTTTGCTTTTCACCTCCCCCTTGTGCTGAACCTGCAGCCCCTGAGTCCGTGTCTCATTCTGGTTCTAACAGGGAAGCCGGGGCAGAGGCTCTGCCAGGCTATTCAAACTCTGTTTCCTGTTTTTGCATAGCCCCTGCCCTTTTCTGTATCACTGTTAACTCCCTGGCACAGTAATACATGGCAGTGGCTGTCAGGGAGTGCAGCTGAAGGGAGAGCTGGCCCTTGGAAGTGTCCCTGGACATTGTGATTCAGCTCATGCTGGGCTGGAACAAGTGGTTGGTAAAGAGAGCCCTGTGGCACATGCAGGTATACGAGGTGACAGCAAGGGCCAAGCTCGATGTGAGCAAGAGCACCTGCCTCGCTGTGGGTGAGCTTGGGGATCTGGAGTCCTTGGGGGTCTCTGTTCCCCATGAGGTGTTGACGATCCTTGGGATACAGTTCAGCCCCGAGCTGAGTGGGAGCTCAGTGTGGGAGAAGACAGAGGCAAAGGCAAAGCAGAGACTGGGGCTGCGGTACACATGCTCCCTCTCCCTGATGGGGCATCATGCTTGTAAAGGCAGTATTGTTACTGGTGCTTCTGTACACCACACTGGTCTTCCCCCCCTTCCAAGTGCATCAGCCACAGGATCTGTGTATGTGTTTTTCTGGGTTCCAGATGGGAGAAGGTCACCAGGAAGATGTTGTCCAAGGACAAAAGGGCCGGAGGCAGGGGCATGCCAGACATCCTCCTGTTCCTGTGGGCCAAGTACACAAGCTATATCTGCAAGCTGGCAACAGGCCTGGAATCCAAAACCGCCTGCGTGGTGAGATATTTCATGGGGTACGTGCTGAGACCTTGCAGGAATTGACCCTGCCCAATCACAGACCGTGAGCCATGGGCACACCCTGGTTTTAGGAGATCCTGAACCAGTTCTGTAGTGTGTACGACCTGCAGAGCACAGGCCTCGCAACCATGAGCAACCACAAGAAGATCCAGGAGATGGTGAGGCAGAGGGACATCACATCGGCTGTGGACCTATTGCTGGGTGATGCCTGTCAGGCCGTGTGGGAGTGCATCCACCAAAAGAATCAGTGCAAAGATCACAGAGACCTGAACTGGCTGATACTCTACTGAGTCCTGCCAGTGAAGGCTCACAGGTATAGAAAGGGGCAGCTGGGGAGACCCAGCTGCCTGTAGCCCAACTGCCATGGAGCCACCAAGACGATTGACCACCTCCTGTGGCCCTGAGGCTGCTCTAAGGAGGTATGGGACAGGATGAAGTGTCTCTGTGAAGCAGTGACTGGGGTCAGCTGGCTCTCCCAAGAAGCGGCACTGTACGGGTACCTTGTCAAACATCAGGGGAGCCCACCTGCCTGCTTCAACCAGCTTGCATCCTGCATCGGGAGCACCCTATGGAAAGCCAGGAACCTTCTGATGTACAGGCACACAAACATAGAGGTGGTAGGTGTTAGACCCCGATTCCAT